GCATCCTTCTCAACCAGCAGGGGTGGTGGGTAGGTGTTTAGGGTGGGTGCTGTGGGAGGGGATCAGGAAGGCTGAGCTCTGTGCTTACCTCTGCTAATATCTACCTGTGCAACTCTCATTAATTTATTCAACATGTATTTAATGTCCAAAATGTGGTAGGCTCTGTGCCACTGGGTACATAAGCAGTGTTGGCCCTAAGGGGTGACTGGCAAGAGGCTTTAGCCTGCTCAGAATGGCCATTAGAACCCAACCCCCAAGCCACCTCAGGCTGATGGCATGACAGCTTAATTTGTAGAGGGAAAAAAACTAAGTAAAGGCTATAATTTACAGTTGGGATAATTGGCCAACTGTTAGGAAAGGGAAAAAATCCTAACATACAATCTATGTAAAAATAGTGTGCTTGCTACACAAGCTCAACTTCAAGATGCAGTCCCAGCTGCCATGGGCCCACATCTCCATTCTAACCAGGCAGCTGACCTTAGACTTCTCCCGAATAGGAATACTGGAGCTGCTCCACGATTTAGGGGGTGAGCAAAACAGATGTAGTGTCCTCTTTTCTGAGTTGTCTTGCTACTGTGGAGAAGCATCAAGCAAACAGGCACTTGTGGCCCAACAAGGTGGGTACCTTGAGAGAAACCAAGTGATGGCAGGAGCACAAAGAGTCCCCTGACCCAGGCTGGAGGACAGGTGAGGCTTCCCCTGAGAAACCATATCATAGATGCTCCGTGAATATGTGCTAAAGAATTGCATGAAGTGCCTGCTAAGCCAATACTTGTAGCATGAGTTAGAGGAGACAGGTTGGCCCAAGAGGGGAGAAGTTCAGGCAGAAGGAACAGCAAGAGCTCAGAAGCTGTTAAGAATACGGCTAGTTTGGGGAACTGAAGGTGAAACTCCTTCAGCCTGGTTGGTTGAGTCTGCTTCCTGAAATTGCTGCTTCCTGTTGGCATTGGCCTTGGAGACCGCCTAATACCTGCTTCCCACCTCAGCTGCAGACCAGGGCTGGCAGTATTGTCTCTCCTGGGAGCTTCTTACTTATAGAAACTGGCTCCCCCTCCCTGAGAGCAGGCCAGTGATCTGGGGGCCCAGAAATCTGCATGACTTAACCAGCCCTTTGAAGCTCACATGTGCTTCCAGGCTCAGTAATATGAGCTTAGCACAATCTTATATAGAAAGCTCCAGAAAGTGGAGGTCCAGAGAGGGCAGATGGGAGCCCGCATTCTCAACCAAGTAGGTTGAGGTTCCTTCACTAACCCCTGCCTATAGGCCCTTTTCCGCACCCTCTTTTTTGTTTGAGGTGTGTGTGTGTGTGTGTGTGTGTGTGTGTGTGTGTTGGGGGTGGGGGTGTAGCCGTGGGGCGGGGTGAAATACCAAGCCCTGATATCCCTGCCCAGGTGGGGGTGCAGAATCTCAGAAATGAGCCTAGCTTGGCAGATGGGCCTGATGGGACTAAAAGAGGTAGGGACAAGAAGGGTGGGAGGAGGCTAGAGGGCTTGGGACCGGGCAGAGCGAGAGGCTGAGGAAGTAGGTTTTCCAGATATGCCCCCCACATTCAGGCAGCCACGGTGGAAGGGTAGGCACGGAAGCTCAGTCTCTAATTAAGCCCAGTTTCTAATTAAGCCTGGCCCCTGTGTCTCCTGGCTCCCCATTAGCGCCCCATGGTGAACCCAAGGCATTTTAAGCTGCCATCCTGCTGAGGCCGGGATAGCCGCCAGGGCCTGCCAAGCTTGATAAGCTTAGGCCCGTGAAGGGCAAAAAGCCAGCTCAGACTTCCCCTCCTGTCCGAGGCAGTCTCTGGGTCCTCCAGTCTCCTCAGAAGCCCAGGGGAGCCTCCTCCTGCCCGCAATCACCATGTCAGCCTCTGGAGCTCTGAGTGGAATCCATCTGAGTGGGTCTTGTCCCCAGCACCACTTCCTGAACCTGAAGTGATTGCCTGGGGGACAGAGAGCAGGGCCTGGTGTCAGCTTTGGCAACAGCCCCCAGACCCAGGAATGTGCTGTCAGAATCCAGCACCTACCATCAAGTCTGCAGGAAGCAGCAATTACCATTTTAGGTTAAGGCAGCCCTGGTTTCTTAACCCTTGTGGCACCGGGGTGCCAGGAAGCCAAGTCCTTCTTTCCCTCCTCTCCTTCCTCTTCCATCCCCCAATTACTGGCAGGGTGAGCAACCCAGACTTTCTGTCCCCTGCTCTCTTCCCACCACACTCTCAAGCAGAGCTCAGAGAAGTGCAGTAGTGGGTCCAAGGTCACACAGCCAAAGAGGCAGTCTCCACCCCTGGAGACCCAACCCACCCCAGTCTCAGCTACTTCCACCTTTACAATCTCCCCAGGCCACATTCACACACGCAGAGTTTAATTAACTTTATTGATATTCAGAAATTAGGGGAATGACTAAAGGTAATTGCTCATTAAAAATCATTAAACCGACACAGCAGGCCCAGGCACATGCTGCCCCTCCCACATGCTTTCTCCCTCCCCTGTGGTATGACCGCCCGGGCACCGCCCGCGGGTTGGGAGGACGCCCGGTGGCCCACTGAGCTTCTCATGTGTGAAGCCAATCGCGCCTTGGATGCTGCGGGAGGAAATAGGGGACTAAGCCTGTCATGTTGGGTCAGGCCCAGCCCAATCTAGTCTTACCTCCACGGCCTCCACCTCCCAGGCTTCCCGCAGCTTCTGGGCCGCGCCCAGCTGCATCTTACAGCCTGCATCCGGCGGCCTGCGTGTGAGCGAAGCTCCGAGGGCCCTGTGGCGAGGCCATGAGGTGGAGGGACAAACCACCCTGGCCTCAAAGGCTCACAGCTTGAGGCCTTTGCAACTTGAGGTTTGCCTTCATGCGGCTGAAGCCCCCAGGAAACCCGAGATGCACTGCCTCCCAGTGAGACAACTCAATACCCCAATGACAGGGTCTTTGCAGCCCCCACAGAGGAGGGACAGGCCTCCCGCCTGCCCAGGTCCAAGGTGCAGGCCCTCTGACCCATCAGGCTTGGCACTGCGGGGCTGCTTCCTCCTGTCTTTGGGGAGTGAAAATAAAGGTTTTCCCCAACAGTAGAACCCCTCCCCCACATACCCCTTGGGCAAGTGGCCTCACGGGAAGTGGAAATCCTGGTGGGTCAGGAAGAGACATTGGCCCGGGACACACAGATTCGAAGCCACAGACTGGGCAGATTCGTCCGAACACACACCCATGTCCCCAGCGAGGCTCTTTGGACGCTCAGCCACATCAGCCTTCCTCCAGGAGACCCGCAGTCTCTCCAGCCCTGCAGGGAGCTCTCTGGCAGAGGCTGCACCCGCACACTAGTGGCCTCACACAATCCACATACCGGCTCACTGCTGTGCCTTCACCCAATGTTCAGACCTCCTGAAGCACAGACACTGGGACCCGCTACTCCAGATACACAGGGCCCCAATTGCACACACACTCCGTCCCACACACCCACACACAAGGCCTCAGACTACACGCCAAGGGACATACATGGGCTCTTTGCCCCCAGGAGAGCTGTCCAGCGCGACAACGTGGCCAGACCCCGAGACAGGTCCCGAACTCCGAGGGACATCTAGGACAGCTGGGCCGGGATGTGGGCTTCTCCTCCCCACTCTCTGCCCCCAGGGTGGGGCTTGCAGGACTCTCTGCCCTCCTCCCACTGTGAAAACACAGTTCCAAGTTCCCCACGGCCGCCGAAGGACCCAGCGTGGGCAGCCAGGTGGCGGGGTAAGGCTGCATGCAACTGGAGGTAGAAGCTCAGAGAGGGGCTTGCGCATCCTTAGGGCAGCGGAATGAAGAAAACCGCCGTCCAGGATCACAGCCCGGCCCCAGCCGCCGGGCCCTGACCTCCGGCGTGACCCAGAAAGATCGATCGCAGGGGTTAGAAACTCCCACCTTCTCCCCCTCCACATCAAGGCGCTACGAATCATATGGTGAGGGACGGCGGGTCCCAACTCCAAGCGCGGCTCCAGCGACCCCACCAGCCAACCAGCTGCAGCAGAAGGACCTGCGCGTACATATCTTTGATGAGAGCTTGTTTGAGCCGGGAGAGCAGGTCCAGATGGGACTCAGAAACCTTTCTTTTCCGGGACACAGAACCTCCATCCTCTGCCCATCATTCCCTTGCTGCTCACTCCGTGGTCAAGCTTCCCTCCACCCGAGACCGATGAAGTTGGGGACTGGACTCCGAGCAGGAGGCTGGGGCCCGCAGGATGGGGGACTGGTCCTCCACGATTCTGCCGCCCTGGGGTGGACGCGGGCCTGTCAGGGACAGCAGGCCGGGGGCGAGGCAGAGCTCCGGGCGTGTGCGGTGTGCGCTCAAAGAAAGGACTTCGGGGAGGACAGAGTCTCTGTCCCGGGACCTGGACTGCTGCAGCCTAGAGCAGAACGAGGAGCCGGATGGGGGCCCTGGGCCCCCCCGAGTTTCTCCCCAGAATTGTACCCTGGGTTCCGACTGGCGCGGCAGCGCCAAGGCAGAAGGAGGTGAGCGACGTCCCAATCCCGGATCCAGCAGCCATCCGGCCCCGTCCCTCTGCAGTGAGGACGCGAGAGGCCCCGGAACCGGCGGCAAAGTCGAGCGAAGTTTGGCGGGCGGCAGGGCAGGCGGGACCGTGGGCCGCCGCCAGCCGGACGGTCCCGACTCACCGCCCCGCGCCTCCCCGCACGCGCTCCAGAGCCCCTAGACGCCTGGAGTGTGGCGAGGTAGCGCCCGGATGAGCGCGTGTGTGCGGGGAGGGGGTGGTATGGTGAATTGCAGCAGAGAAATCCCATTAGATCCGGGGAGATGATTAAAGGCGAGGTCTCGGCCGGGCGCGAATGGCGGGAGCCGCGGCAGCTTCCCGCCCGCGGAGCCCGCGCCCCGCCTGGCTCAGCCGGCGCCGGGGGCAGCGCAGCCGGCGGGGCGCGGTACTTGGGTTGGGCAGCCAGACGCGAGGAACTGAGCGCCGGGACGGTCCTCCCTTTCCACCCCCTTGAACCCCTTCCTCGCCCCCGTCCTGCCGCCGGACTCGGGGGTCCCTTACCGTGAGCCGGGAGAGCCAGCAGCGAGGGCAGGAGCAGCAGGGCTACCGGGCGCATGGTGCTGGTGGCGGCCAGACCCTGGGCCGGGGCCGCGACGAAAGGGAGGGGGACTCGGCGGGACGTGGGCGCAGGGGGCAGAGCTGGGTCCGGCGGGGGAGAGGGAGCGGGGTCGCCGCCGGCGCCAGCGCCTGACAGAATCAGCACCACGGCCAGCGCATGGCGTCGGCGCCGGGGATCGCCGCGCGGGGCTGGGGGGGGGGGGGGCGCGGGGGGCGGAGCGGGGTCCGGGGGGGGAGAGGGAGCGGGGTCGCCGCCGCCGCCAGCGCCTGACAGAAT